TTAGGGCGAGTGATGGGGGGGGGGATAAGGAAAGGAAAAAAAAGAAAAAAAAAAAAAAAAAAAATAAATTTGGGGGGGGGGGAAGGAATCTAGTGTTGAAAGGGGTAAAAAAAAAACTAAAAACATAAAAGTGGGCAATAGTCGAAAACCTATAGTCAAAGCTGCAATAGAGAGAATGGACTAGTCAAAGTCCTGATCTAAGTCCGACTAAATCTGCAGAAATACTTGATGTTAAAGATACCGTCCAAGGTCAATCAGACTGAACTTCAGCTGTTTTCTAAAAGATCTAACAAACAATTGGACAGAAGAAAAAAAATAAATTTTTATTTTACCTCACAGTTATGACTTCTTATGCGTCATCAGTTGTAATATCAAGTAAAATCCCCAAGAAATCATCTTAGTGGTTGTAACGTGACAAAAAGTTCAAGAGGAATCAATGCTTTTGACAGATTTTGCATCTAACCCCCCTCCAAAAAAAAACCTACATCATGTCCATCTCTACTGACCTTTAGTGTTTTTTTATTTTTTTATTTTATGTTTTTTATGGATTTAGGCCTCAAAATGTTATTTTCAATAAGTATTTCCGTTCAGTAGCACAGAGCCGGTTGTCTTGGTTGGAACTCACTGCCTGCACATAAAAGGTTTGACTTTTTGTTCAGTTGGTTTCATTGTAACTGTCATCTGTACACATCTTAAAAAAAAAAAAGAAATGGCTGCATCCTCACATATTCTGTTCAGTCAACGTCACACAGAAACACAAACAGAAGCAGTAACACACATCTGCAGTCTCAAAAAAGAGAAAAGGCTGTAAAATTTGGAACTTGCTTTCACTTATACTGTCCAACATGCAAAAGGGGAAAAAAGAAAATATCACAGCACAGTAAGTCTGACGTTTCTACATGCGTACCAATGAAACATTCATTCACCAGGAGCTTTGAGAAAAGAAGTCAAATATTAATCTCACACTCGTCGAGCTGTATAAAGTGCTTCGAGAAAGGCAGCAGTATTAAAAAGGCACTAATATATATTTATATATATATATATAAAAAATAAGGATTAGCACTAAAGATTGTTTTTGAAGGCTGATACGTTTAAGGGTTACAGTGACATTCTCTGCACTCAGGCATAAACAACAACAAAAAAAAGAGAAAAAATATGCCAAAAAGTAGCTTTGAATGTTTCTACTATATTTAGTCGTAGAAATTTATGCAAAACCATTTTGGAGGCGTGGAAAAAAATAAAGGCTAAAATACAATCTACGTTAGAGACCAGAGATAAATGAAGAAATTTAAAAATGTTTAGCCCGAGTTAACGGAAACGAACTGAGCTAATGAAAGCTAAAAAAGGCACAGTGTTAGTAGAAGCAACTGTCTAAAGCGATTAAGATTTGTTTGGTTCTGTATCTGTGAAGTTTTTTTTTTTTTTTTTTTTTTTTTTTTGGTTGATCTTTGAGAATTAAGGCGGAGCAAAATTTCTTAATTAAAAACAAAACAAAAAAAAAACATGAAGGGCCACTACAGCAGGCTGGTAGACAACAGCAAAGCATCCCCAGTTGTTTGATTGGGTTCTCCACTGTACCACAGAAAAAAAAACAAACAAAAAAAAAAAATTTGGCCAGTGCATTGCTAAACATAAACGGGAAGATAAAAAAAATTGAAATAAAAATTATAATAATAAAAAAATCTATTTAATGCGATTGTTTGAACCTACAAAAGGCTTTAGAGTGGTGTTTTATGTGCAAAACGAGAGCAATGGCTGTGAATAGCACAAACTTACGAAAAAATATCCTCCACAAAGGAGAACTGTAAAAACAAAAACAAAAAAAGAAAAACAAGTCAAACTTACTTGTTGATACTCTTGTGTAACATGCATTTCAGAATCTGTGTGTGCTCATAAAACTGCCGTTGAGGATGGGCTGGGGGAGAGGGAGGCTCCCTCCCCTTTTTGACCTGAGCAACATTTACTCCACCACACATCCACATCTGTACAAGGGGAGACATTTTGGGAGGGGGGTAGTGTCACAGGCAGACAGCTTTCTATATAAAGTGACTCCAAGGCAGACAGGAAGGCGAATCTAAGAGTAGGAGAACTGCGACCCGTTGGATATTTGCGAGGTAACACTGGAGCTCCTGCTCATCCCGGGCTCGACGCGCCCTCCCATTGCCTGCAGGGCCCCGCCTTGTGGGTGGCCCCACTGCATCTGACCCGCACCACCTCCTCCTCCGCCCGGCGAGCCGTGCCCCCCCCACCCTTGCTGCATAGGAGACCCTCCTAAGCTGGATTGGTAGTGGTGGTGGCTGCCTCTGTGATTGGAGCTCAGGCTGGAACCACGGCTGCTCCAGCGCGGCCCTTGAGAGCTCGATGAGGGCCGCAGCTGCTGGTGCTGGCTGTAGCCGCCTGGTGCACCGGGGAAACTGTTGCTGAGCGCTTCGGGGGAGAGGTCTGCCAGCATCATGTTGTTGAAGCCCAGGCGCATGCTCTCTGAGTCGAAGGCCTCGACTTCCCTGGCCTGGCGCTCCAGCAGGTTCTGGATGCGCTCGGTGCGCTCGTTTTGCAATGACTGCATTTCCTCCTCAATCTACGGGAAAGTCAAAGAAGATGGAGCATTATTAACAGGTTATTAGGGTAAAAAACACAAACTACATGTATGAGATTAAACAGTCCTGCCGTCACAAAATTTAAGACATGTAATTAAAATATTTATGACCAATTCACATTTTTTTGTAATGGATGATTTCTGAGCCCTTACTTTTTTTCTGGGATTTCTCCCATTGGGTTTAATATCTGGTTGAATTTTAACCGGGCCAATCAGGAGAAGTTGTGAACAATGATGTTTTTCTCTGCTGTTTTAGAACTGTAGTCTGCCTGTAGTTTTAGCAATGGCGGCAGACGAAGTGGACTAAGCCATTCAGTACGCTTCCAAATATTGAATTAACATTAACAGTCATCTTGTTTGGCTCGTTTTCAGCTGCTTTGTGTTGATTTTTCTCCACTTCAAGCTAGTGGTTTTTTTTTTTGTTTACATAATTCCGAGCAACAAACTTAGACTGACAAGTTGTAAAAAACCGAGGAAATGTACTCTTGAATGTGAACAAATGTCGAACCTTTTGCTCCAGTAGCGCTCTTCGGAGTGACACCCTTTGTTCCAGGTCATTCTTCTCGCGGGCATGCTGTGCGTCCGTCTGCATCTTAATTTTACTCTGGTAGGCATTAAGAAGCTCCAGCTCTTGCTGTAGCTGGATCTGTAATGCTTGGCACTGAGATTCCTGAGTCACATCCAGGCGTAACTAAAGACAAGGAATGAACAACACAATGTTACCCATTCTGAAACATTAAGATGATAAAAATGCTATGCTGGGGTGAGGATCAACAGTCTTGCTTGTACATTTCTGGCACTGAAAGACTCACCGCCTGTGTTGAGAGCATTTCACTGATAGAATGGTCGTATTGCTCTGCTAAAATGGCAAGCTTGCGATGCTGCTCCTGCTTTAAACGTTTGAGGACAGCTTTGTGCTCGGACTTTGGTGTGGTCTCCAACAGGTGGTTCCTCAATGCTTTATACTGCTGGGTCTGGGTCTTACACGTGTTTTGAAACAGTTTTTTGATCTGGATCTCTTTGTACTTGAAAACAGAAAAACAGGAATTAGATTAAAAATGTGTGTAGACCTTTATCGCATTAGGAGACAAACATCTCTAATATAAGGTTTTTGCAAGTTTCACCAACTCAAATGTAAGAGTTTAAGACCTGTTTTAAGAACATTGTCAATTAAATTTAAGACCTGTAACATGACAGGAATGAACAAAAGAAAATTGCATATTTTATAGAACAGGCCAAGCCTTTTTTTTCACAGAACGCAGACAGCATAATAAGGGCTGGCTACAGAAGTCAGCCAGTGGCAACGACAACAGATGATAAATGTAAAAAAAAAACAAAAAAAAAAACAACTTTCTAGCTAGGCAAGGGTTTACTAGCAACTAGTTAGCTGTATCCTCAACCGCATGGAGTCACAGAACATACGATGTCTGCGGGCGACTCAAATCTTTGCTTGACAGAAAAGCTCCACAATGAAAAATAAACTAGATAAAATACACAGAATTAAACAGTCCTGTGTATTTTAGTTGAGACTAAAATACACAAAAACAGTTTAGACCTGTGATTATGACATTTAAAGCCGACTTACATCATTTCTAATAAATTCCAGGCATTTCGATGCCTTCATTTTAGATTTGTAAATTTAAGACTTTTCAGACTCCTTGCAACAGACTACAACTGAGAACGAAGAATTGGTCACGAGAAAGTTTCTGCAGAAATTTAACAGGGGCCTGCCAAAGTGTGCATATTGGTTGGGAACAAATAAGGGGTTATGCTGAAAATTAGCATCAATGCTATGGTTAGCTAAAATGTAGTCACTAGCATGTGGGGTATCACAAACATGTTGACCAACATGGACTTACTAAACTCAGTAATCAAACATTACTGTAGCACTGACTTACTCCATTCAGCATACTAAATGTGGCTAATATATATAAAAAAAATAGCTAAATGGCTTATTTTAGTTGTAGGCTGATGTTAGCATGAGGGCTACCACTAGCATATAGAACGACTAGTACGTAGAGACTACCAGTAGGATGTGAGTTATTAATAGCATGTTGACTAACAGGAACCATAGGAAAAAAAATCAGAAGCAGAAAAACTGTTTCGGTTTATGTTAAACACAAAAAAGTGAAACAAGTTTCACGACAGGTCAGAGACTAACCTTGAGGCTCTTGGGCTGCTGACGAACCTCCATGCCGTGTTTTCGTCTAAGCTCCCGGTCTCTCCTCTTGTTGTACTCCTGCTGATTGGTCAGCTCCGTCTGGTGCTGTAGCCGGATCAGCTCAACTCGCGTCTTCTGGATGGTGTTGAGCTGGCGGAACTGAAGCTCTTGCATGGACTCGTGATGTCGGAGGAGCATTGCGTGCTCCAAGTCCTTCTGGGTCTGACGCTTGTTTAATTCCTACCAACACAAGCACACAGAGGAAATCACAAAAGGTATTTCCTAAGGTGGAAATTAAAAAGAAAAACAAACAAAAAAGACTTTGTTTTGTCAGGAACTGATGAGAAGTTAGTGATACAGGCTCCTTATTGATTGTCATTGAATTAGGAAATAAACTCAAAGTATGCACCATGTTGCATTCGATTCAAAATAAATAAAAACTGGCTCAAAAAATAATGAGAATCCGTCTGTCAAATGGACATTTTAACATGAAAGGCAACTTTTTGTACATTTGTTTTTGTATTTGCTTTCAGAAGAGTAGCAATACTTTATGTCTTTTCAGGAAGGATTTGTCAGGACTTAAGGTGTCTCCAGCAGGGGAAAACACCTTCCCAAATGATATTTACTGTTATTTTACTCCATATGTTTCATACTTTGGATTGCTTCTGTCGGGACGCCATCTTGGATGCATTTTAAATCAAAATATGAGGTGTGTACATCTTACATTATTGGAACCGACAAGTGGAATCGATAGGCAGGCAGATTAACGATTCTCTACAAGAACCGGTTTCCATCCCCAGTCAATAAATGCCACAGTGAGCAGTGCTGACCTCTCGCAGATGCTGCTGTTCAATTTTGTGGCGAGCCATCAGGATCCTTCTTTTGAACCGGCGACACTCCAGGTCCAGGTACTGCCTCTGTCTGCGCTGGAGGTTGGCCTCTTCCGCTGCTTGGAGGTTCTGGAAGTTCTCCTTCTGCTTGGACAGCCACTCCTGCTTTTCTTTCTTGGGCGTCGACTGGTTTTCATTCAGCTCCTGCAGAAAAATAAACACATTTAACCCTACTACTAAAGTTGAATTTGTAAATGTAGTTATATTTTACATTGAAAGACAAATATGAATGAAAATAAGTGCGATGAAGTTTGGAACCTCTTTCAGCTGCTCCTTGCGAAGCTTGTACTCCCGTTTTTGGGATTCCAGGAAGCTGTTCAGCTCTTTCTTTTGCTGACTCTGGATGTGATGTTGGAACTTCTTTTCATCGTTGCTAAATGTTTTTGCCTAGTGGAAAAAACAAAACAAAACCAAAAAAACCCCATCATTATCAGTGTGATCAATGCAAAACAGCAGCCACCGTAGGACCATCAGTTGGGCTACATTTGTATCCACGGAAAGCGATAATCCAAATATTGATTTGAACTTTTGTTTTCATCAGTGACTCTGAGATAGAAGGTGAATTAACAACAACAAAAAAACTCTTAATGAAGCGTAACCGCTATTCATACGGATACATATTAAAGCGCAGGGTTCACAATGTTAAAAACATGGCGGGGATCCAAACTGTACAGCTAAAAATATCAGTTATCTACTGATTTGCAAATGTTGCACTGGAAAAACACAAACATGTAGTTGTAGGTGGTGGCTGGCTGTCAAGCAAATTCAAACGGAAGTGGTTTAAATTGAACCTGAGGATTGGAAGCGACAGTCAAAGGTCTGTTCCTTACATGTAGACTTTGCTGTTGCTAAGCATAAAAAAGCAAAAATAATTGGTTATAGTTCATTTACCTGTACAGTTTTAGCCAACTTTAACAATTTAAAACAACTTCATCTACAATTTCACTGCAGACTATTACTGACTTTGGTGTGTTTTTGTCAAACAGTAAAATATCCTATCGCTGAAATAAGTCAAATCAGCGTACGTCTGACTCGCTTCTTAGAGGATTTATGTACTTTTCCAACAAGTTCGTGCTAAGATGACATTTTCTACTATTGGTAAAAGGAACTTGAAAAATTTTCTAGCCAACCCTTGAAACCATTGCTTCCCTAATACAATATCTGGGGACATTTAAAAGGAATATATTCAGAAGTTCTACATTGTTAAGCACAGCTCTGAGCTGGTACATGCTTGTGTTTCGGAAGCTCACATCTTTCTCCATGGATGCTTGGTGTTTCTTGACCACTTTCTCCAGCTCTTGGGCAAAGTTATTCCTCTGGGTCTCCAGCTCCTTGTCCAGACGGAGCCGGTGCTCGTCCATCTCGGTCTTCAGCTTATTCTCCAGAGCCAGCAGCTGCTTCTGGTGCTGCCGTCTCATTCGCTTGTAGCCCAGGATCTGCTCTCTTAACTCCGATTCCTGCTCATGCTCCTTCATCTGGCGTGTGAGCTGACAAACACAAGACACAGATTATTATTATTTTTTTTAAATCAACTTGATGGAAACAGGTTGTAAGGATTACAATTACATAAAAATTGTCAATAATGTGCTGTACTAGAAAAAAAAAATCTGTCATGTCTCACAGACATGCTGTCATCCTTTCAGAAACTCAGCAGTGAGCTCAAAGATACATTTTCTTTACATTAAGAATAATTAAAAAAAAAAAACCTTTGAGTTTTTTTTAATAACTGGATAAAATGAAAAGATGTGAACTTAGAACATATTCACATGCTTGTTAAGAAAACATATGCCAGGAAAATCAGAAGTCTTTCTGAATAACTATCAGTTGAGCCACAAGAATTGAAAAAATTAGATTAAGTATTTCTTACGACAAAATTGCTGCAGTTTTCCTTTTAGCAGGCAAGTGTCAGTACTTAATAGAATCCACTAAACAACATACGGTAGCAACATGACCTAATGCTGTCAAATGACCTGTGGGAACCAAAAGTATGATGCGCACTTTATGTCCATATGTTTATATGGATCAGATTTCTATGTAGAAATGCCTCTAATTCCACCTGCATCATCTTTATGACTTCAGATAGTTTCATTCCCAAACTCCCAGTAAGGACAGAAGGCGTTTCTACCGCTGACGCTGTGCGTATAGTCGCAAAGTCTTCACGATTTCGTCTCGTCCTCTGGGTCTGAGTGGGGGCAGCTTGTGGCTCCGTTGTGGCTCTGCCATGAGACTCTGACTCTTCTTTGAGCGTCTCTTGTTCCTGCTCAGAAGGAAAAACAACAAAACCAGAGTGAAGAAACTGCATAGCAACCAGAAAACAGAGACACAACAGCTCAGTTGTGATGAGAATACTCAGGATTCTGGGACTTGATTCTCTTACGGGTTTGAGATTAATGACCGAGCTGTTGGACATCACCGTGCCGTCGCCGTCCATGTCCGGCTCGCTCTTGTCCTCGCCTGCGTCGGGTAGGCTGTTGACGGAGCTGCTCTGGGAGCTGGCACTGATGGACATGCTGGGTATGGACTGGTTGCTCCCGACGCTCTTCACCGTGCCCGTCCCGCTCACGCTGGGGTCCGGCTCCTACATACACACACACGGCACAAGAAACAATAAAAAGGCTGCAACAATAGAGGATGCCGCTAAAACATAAACAGGCCAGCTAGTGGCAGACCTCGTCGTCGTCTTGCGGCTCATTCGGGGAGCCGTTGAGGGCTTCCTGAAATAAGATCTTCTTCATCTTGCGGTACTGCAGATTGTCTAGTTCCCTCACAGCATCCTTGGTCCGATTTATCAGATCTATTAGGACCGATTCCGGCCGTTCACGCTGGATAAAAACATGCTGGAGGCCAGAAAAGAAACTAAGAGTTAATGTTGGAACTTTTATGGTTTAAACAAGGTTACTGGAAGTGTCACCCACTGAAATTTAAGACTTTAAGACCTGTATCACAACAGAAATGTACAAAGGAAACCCTCAAAAAATAAATTGCCAAGATGAACCACATCCCGCCAACTCGTAATAAATGTACATCTACCCCACCTTTAGGAGCTCCTCGGAGTTTGGCCTTTCCTGAGGAAGTTTCTGAAGACACGAATCGACAAATTTCCGAAAATAATCCGTCCTGAAAAAAGTATGTCAAATTTAGTCATTAGAAGATGAAATTTTCAGAAGCACTGTGAGTCACATTGCTTTTCACTCACCATTCGGTAGACTGCAGAACGGGGCTGTCGTTCTGTGCTATATGATATAAGGCACTCATCGCATTCATGTTGAACAGTGGAGGCTTCCTTTCAGCTAGAAACCAAGAAGCCAATCAGTTTTAAAAGAATCCAAAATTTTAACATCTTTACGCGTTTAGCGCAAATATTATACATTAGGTTTATACTTGAATAGGTAAAAATAAGTCACAATATAATTCTTTTTGTGATTTTAGTTTTTTAAAGCTAATCTTAGCCTTCGAGACGGGTAGACTTGTTGATTTCGTTCTCTGAAGGTTCCTTTGTCTGGTCATGTACAGTCTAAACACACATAACTGAGCCGATGAAGTATTTGGAGCATGTTTGCCCTCAATTAGGAAACACAAAAGCTCACACAAAGCAGACAGAGATGAATGTTTGGTGTGTCCCACACCTCAAGAATCCTTCATTTATGAGGTAAAAAAGGAATGCAGATAAATTACATGCCTATGCATTGAAAGCTTAGGCAAATTATGTATGAACAAAGTCACATCAGTGCCAGCAACAGACTTGTGGAGGTTTCTGTTGTTGCAAGGAGCCAGCCTAAGTGGCTTAAAGAAATGTTGACTGGGAGAAACGTTAAAATACTGTGGGGAGGGGAACAATCTTGATAATACAGACGTACCTAATTCAATGCAGGTTATTCCCAAAGACCAGATGTCCACCTTTCCATCATACTGACCCTCATCCATGGCTAATATGACCTCTGGAGCCATCCTGAGAAGAAAACATATGCACCAAGATAAACATAATAGATGGGACAAGTAAAAACAAACACTAAGATGAAAACATACTGACAATATATAATTGAGGTTTTAATGTGACAAAATATGGAAATGTTGATGGTGTATGAATACTTTTGCAAACCGTTGTATGTTTCTGTTGAACTACTGAAATAAATGACCTTCATGTTTACATCCTAATCTATCGAGTATAGAGATGCATCTATACATGGCTGTTCACTTACCAATATGGAGTCCCAACAAAAGAATTGGCTGGACAGGCAATGGAGGCCGAGCCAAAGTCTGCTAGTTTCACCTGACCCGGTTCGGTCAACAAGATGTTTCCTGCTTTGATGTCACTGCAAAAACATACAGAAGGAAGCGAGTGACGTTTCGCTGTAACTGTAGAGCACGGAACAAAAAAAGGTTTGCTTGAAAAATACTCAAATACGCACCGGTGGATCATGTTGTGGGAGTGAAGGTAAGTCAATCCGTTTAGAGCACCATGGGTAATTGCAGCAATTTCAACTTCTTGCAGGGGTTTCTTGTGGACTGGAAGGTATCAATCATCATTGGTGACGCAATACGACAAACTTGCAAAGCAGGAACAACATTCCCATGTTGTGATTGACTTAACTCACCTTCTAACAAATCTGAAGCCGAGCCTAGACAGTACTCCATTACCAGCTGTTGAGAAATAAAGAGATTGTGTATTTGTTTCTTGCTTTTGTCTCTCAGTTTATGTTCAACATTTTTAAGTTGCTACTTATAAGTCTATCCAACTTATACAAAAACACCCCCCTGCCCCCCCCCCCCCAAAAAAAAAAAAAAACAGTTACAGTATAACTGTGTTGTACTATTTTTGGCATATATAATTTTCTTAAGATGTGCACCCTTAGTCCTTTTAATGACAGAGCCAGCAAAACGTCCCTTGGAAAGTTAAGGTCTACACAAAACATACATCTACAAGGCCCCATTTTGTACCTTTCAGTCAAATATGAAAACAACCAAAACTACAAAAAGTACAGAATGGTAAAGTTGCAAAAGGAATCAGCAGCAGTGTCTGGAAAAATACAAAAAATTGGAATTTGTGAGAAAACAGGCTGTTCTAAGAAATGGATGTGGATGAAAAACATTCTCTGCAATAATTGCCTCTAAGTGATGTCTGCACCACTCAAAAAAAGCAGCCCATTTATGCAGCTACATGAAATTCAAACACAAAGTGACCAATTATCTATTATTAAGATGAATGGCTGGATTTTATTTAATACATTTGGCCAAAATGTAAACAAATTCAGGGAATCTTTTAGTGACTACATTAAAATGGTTGAGCTGAAATACATTGCTCTTAATAATTATTGACGGATAAGATGTATCAAAAAAAAAAAAAAAATACAGATTAAAGCTTAAATAAGAACATCAATCCTAACCATCATTCATTTTCGTATTTTGTATATTACTTAGAACTTAGTTCATTTTTTAAATACATTAAAACAATGAACTTAGTTCATTTTTTAAATACATTAAAAAAAATGAACTTAGTTCATATTTTAAATACATTACTTTCAGTGCATATTTTCAGTGCATTCATTCATTTTTCAAAGTTTGTTGATGTAAACCATGTTGCTGCTTTTCTTTGTGTTTACTTCTTAAGGAAAGGCTACATCTGGATCAATACTTCCCACTTATTTTTAACAAATTGAACAAATTCTTTTTTTTTCATGTTCACGGCAACTACCCATCCTTCAAGTTGATTGTTGAAAGTGTATTCATCTTACATATTAATTTTGTTAAAAAAAACCAATTGCAATCACAATTTTTGTTTCCACGATCAAGCAGGCCTCGTCACTTTCCAATTTCCCTGATTTTTTTTTTTTTTTTTTTAAGAAGTCCTTACCCATGCAGTGTGCTCTCGCAGGTAACATCCTTTGTACTCTATGCTGTTTGGGTGCTGTATTCGCCGCAGGAATTTCACCTCCTTGATTATGTCTTGCCATTTCTGTGAAATCAGTACAAAGAGTTCATAAAAAGAAAACCAGAAAGCAAACATCAATTTAGGTTTTGCGTTAAGTTACCCTCGAAATAGCTTGGTCAAAATTTTATGAAGTGAAAAAAACAAAATTAATAATAATAATAATAATAGAATATAATGCTGTAGTTGAGAAAACTGACTAATTCACATTAATTGTTTTGCAATCAATTTTGATGCTCTATGATTAAAATGACAACAAAACAGTGTAAAATCTGAAGCCTAACAAACCTTTACATTTGCATTGTGTAGCATAAAGAAAACCCAAACACACTATGCACTTGTTTCCATTATCTGACAGCAACACAATCTGCTGGTAACGTGCCTGCCGTTTTCTTTAATGGTTTCATAAACAAATCTTAAGAGATGGCAGTCCCCCCCACCCCATTTCAACACTCTTAAAGTGTCAACTTCTACAATCATTTAAAAAAAACAAACAAAAAAACAAATTTTATATATCTCAACAGCTTCATGCTGAGACACTATACACAGCTGTTTGAAGAAATGTAACAGATTGTGTTCATGGGCAATTCTTTTTCCCCGCTATGGCATTCAAGGCAAAATTGATTAAACTGACCCAAAGCACAAACATTCCTGGTTTTTGATCATATGTTTGGATCCAGAAAACGCCATTATACCTCATTAGACTGTTTTCCATTATAGGACATCTTCTTGATGGCCACCACATCATTTGACCGCACATCCCGTGCCTGGAAGATGAGAAGAACTGATTTTAAACATTGTAATTTAACAAATACTTGGAGATTTATTTTTCTTTGTGTGTCATTTGTTTGTTTGTCTTATTTTTATGCATGAACACATCCACAAATTGCAAAATGCTTTCCTTAAACCATCAAACCAGGAGTTTGTTGCTGCTGAGCTATTATAACAGCAATATTTGTTTTATTTTGATGGTAAAAAAAAAACTGATTTTGCTTGGATGTACTGATCTAATAATAATAAACATAAAACACAAAATTTGGAGAATAACTGAATAAATAATCAAACAAAATTAGGTTTCAACCATTTAGACTGCTTCATCAAGAGCAGAAATATTGTGTTGGGAATACTCAGAAACATTTAGAGCCAACTGAAAGCCTTCCTTACACAGACTCATCTGGTACTGAAAGCATAATCAACACAATCAATCATATAATCTTTAAAAGCCTCAGACTAAAACACACTTATAAACAGACTCTGATCTAGAACTGCACGGAATAAAACCTTTTTTAGTTAGCTGAACGAAGATGTAATTTTTTGTGACGATTTTTCAGCAAAAGTTCAAAGACTATAAACATTGCTATAAGGACAGATCACTTATGCATTAATAATCCAATTCCAATATTATAACAGGCCTATACAAAAACTAAAAAAATACGCATAAGATAATACACTGCTTTATAATGCGATTATATAAGAATAAATTAGGAAGTTTGCAGTTGTGATGCATTTATTGAACAAGAACAAAACCTGATTAAGGGAAAATAAGTGGATGTGATCAGGTGACTCACTGGTGCATCGCTATACATCCAGCAAAAAAAAAAAAAAAAAAAAAAAACTCACAAAGTACACAGCTCCAAAGCTGCCATGTCCAATTTCGTGCAGATCTGTGAAGAGCTTTTCCGGGTCCTCCCTGAAGAAGAGTTCTGCGATTTCGGGGTCCTTCAGGTTCCCCGCCCGGCTGCTGTTGGGCATGCCGGGGGACGTCGGGGCGGTGCCGCTGCCGCCGGGAACTATCTGGGTCTGCGACAGCGACGGGCAAGCCCCCTGCGACGGCTCATCTGCAGGACAGTGATTTCATGTGTTCAGCGCTGCAACACAAGGATAAACAAAAGAAAAAAACAACAACAAAAAAAATTTATATTAGACACTGTCTTTCAAGATTATGGAAATATCTCACTTTTAAAAATACATTTGAAGAAGAATCAGAAGAAATAAAGCAGAGCTGGGCAATGTGGACTTACAGCTTCAGTACAATACTTTGTGCTACCACTGAGATGACAACAAAAGTGACGATAAGAACTATTTATTATTACTTTTTTAGGTGACTTTATGGCACAACAATTAAAACATTTGCAACATGCTTCTTTAGGACACCACTCACATAAAGAAGTGTGATTTGCCTCACTGAACTGCACACAATAACTTCATCCTCTTCTTTCTGTATTTATTGATATTCTCACTGAATAAACAGAAAGAAGTAAAACTAACAACCCAAAGAGTCAGACAGTTTTGGGGAGTTTTAAAGATCATTAAAATGAATTTATTTGACAGAGACAAATCAAAATTCTCCATCTCAGATAGAAAAGTTATCACGATAAATTACGAACGATACGATAAATGCCCATTCCTGCCCCCAACATATGTAAACATCTGGTGGCAGATGGCTTGTTTTGTACTTTTTGCCATCTTAATCAAAAAGTTCTACACAATTCAGCTGACAGAAAGACAGAGCAGTTCCAGAAGTTGTTTGGGTTGAACTAAATACATCAAGTCTTCTGCCGTGTTTTATTATTTAGACATTAACGCTGATTTTAATTAAAATCTTCCATATGTTTACCATAAGAACAGCCTGTTCAAAAAGATATGCAACTAGCTATTATGAGGAAATGGCTACGAAAATTTTCTAATAGTTAAAACCCTTTTTTAAAATTTTTTCTTTCGCAAAAACACTCCACTGTGGAAGTAAATACTCCTTTCCTTCGCCGTTGTTCTGAACGGCCCTGCTAATGTGGACTGTAGAAGATCACTGAGGAAAATTTACCGAGTCCATGCAGCGGCTCAGATGATCAGTTGCAAACAGATGCAGAGCTGACGCTCGAGTCACAAGACTTCTTTCCCAGCCCGGGCGAAACAGCCCCCGGTCCAAGCAGACATGTTTTGTCTCACAACAACACTGAACAACCCCACTATTCGACAGCCATGAAATAAAGCCTCATTACCATGCAGGACTGAGCCTCTTTATTGCCATTGTCCTTTATGACATTGGTGCGACTCAATGAGCTTTGTTGTCATATGTCATGACACCGTTTTCTACTGCACGCACACGCGCGCGCACACACACACACACACACACACACACACACACACACACGAGGAAAGAAGTGCCGATAACTGATACCTCCGTGAATCAGGACAAGCCTTCCAAACCGCCGCTCACAAAAACGCTTAAGAATGCAGCAGGACAGGACAACAAAGCCGGAGGGCTGGAATTCCCAACGTATGCCCTCACTACACCGCGACTCTGCACTTCCTGTTCACGCGGCTCCGGCGAGGTAGGAATGGGCCTTAGTGAGAAACTTGACAAGTTACATCTAGCATCCCTGGCACAAAAACAAGAGCAAACATGCACTGAAATATTTGACAGCAGAAGGGGGGAAAACTCTAAAGACCGAAGCGTGACAAAGAAGAAGAGGATTTCCCCCACTATTTTTCATCAATCTTTAGGCATAAAATCTTAGTTTTTCACGTGCTATGCAGGAGGATAACATGGGAAGATGCTATTATCATCTTCTGATAATAGCATAGCTGGGGCTTACTGAAGAGGTTTATGTTAATAAAATTATCTTTTCAAGAACATATGCAAGCAGCTCCTGTTATTAAGTTTTAATCTGAGGAATAATGTGAGCAGAATATATTTAGTTTGAAGCAGAATATGGTTTAGATGGTGCAAAATGTATTCTGTGCTACAGTAACCAATTTTTAGATGAATAAAGAAACTGCTATAAGAAGTCAATAAACTGATTTTCATTATTCTCAATAAAAAAGAAAGCACTCATTAGCTGAACACTTAATGGTAAAATGAAATTTTCCTCCAAGTAAATCAAGGGACATACATTTTCTCAGTCTCAAATTCTAATAACTCTTCATTTTTGGTGTCATTTGGGAAATCCTCTTTGCACTTTAAAATGACATTAGAGCGGTTAAGAGTAAGGAAATAGAAATGGTAAAATACAAGTCTAAAATTTTACATTTTACCCTACTTACACATAAAATCTCCCTTTGATATGAAACAGACGATTACTCTAAAAAGTATACAAAAAGTAGAAAAATCTAATACAAAAAATATACAGTGTTTCAATAACTAAATTCTTTGTAGAGAAAAACGTGAATACATTTTCGCATTAATACACACAGCACTGTTGGTAAATGTAAAGTTTGCTTCACGTGTTTCTGGGGTTTGACAAGCATCACATCTTACCTGGGCGTTTCAGCTCATGTCACTGGTGATAACTCCCTACTTTTACAAGTCACCCTTCCCATTCTTTAATTTTCCTTAAAGTAGTCACGTTCCCACTCGTCTTGTGAGTGACAAAGGTAAACCTTCACATTGCAAGAAACTAACACACGACTCAAAGCTCTAAAGTACGAATATAAAACGAAAGGTTTCAAGACATTCCCAATGTTGACTATATAATGTTAGCACCAAACTTCACGTTAGCCAAGTTACGTGTCATAGGATGAAACAGCTCAAGCAGTGTTTCTAATGTGTTAACAGTCTGAACTACTGTTTAACTACTCAACAGACATTGAGTTAAACATCAGTTTGGTTTAATTAAGAGAAAATAAAATTTAAAAAGCCCAACAAGCTAATGTTTGCTAATTTAGCTTAGCCGGTTAGCTGGAACTCACCCTGTTCTGACAGGCCAGTTCTGAGGGATGAGGAGAGTGGCGTACACTTTAGACCAATTTGGGATTAGAAAGTACTTTTCCAGTTTCATTCCCAGCACGGAAGCTTCGTAAGCTAAATCCTGGTGGTTCTTCACGCTGTCAGCCGATTAAACAGAGTACGTCAGTGAAATTACTAAAGATTAAAATGCCCACCCTTGAAGTAAACTGGGGTGCCACAGCAGTCAGCTCCCACTCCCAGGCAAGCTCCAAAGATGGCTGCCGAGCGCTCCGTCGCCGCGCCTCTCTTCTTGAAAAATACACTAGGGAAGAATGCGAGAAAAGTTCAGGCAGCGGCAAAAACACCCATAAAGGAGCCACTGTGGAATCTGCGAAGTCGTCCGACGAACTGGATATTTAACTTAGTTCAAATGACACCTGAATTATTAAGTTATGTAAAGGTCTTCTCTTCGACATGGTACAAACTGCAGTTCCGCCCTGCCTGTTGCAGTAAACTCTCCCTGACCCAGGAACACCAGGAGGCGGAAACTATGGAACCTACTGTACTTCAAAAACGATAAACCTTTAAAGGTTTGCCTTCTACATAGATAAGAAAAACAACAACAAAATAAAACGCAAAGTAACATAAACATTAACGTAAACATGTCATTCAAAGCATTTATTCCTTGGAAAAGTTAGTAGCCTTTTGATTCAATTTAAATAAAAGAAGTAATATTATGAGGATTTCCCCCACTATTTTTTATCAATCTTTAGGCATAAAATCTTAGTTTTTCACGCGCTATGCAGGAGGATAACATGGCTTTGGATTTTAAAACAAGCAATACTGAAAACAGGGTTTCCCATACAATATAGGCAGAGTTCAGTATAGTACTCAAAAAGTGCATTGACGTAAAATTCAACATACTTTTACTCAAGCAGAAGCAAAAAAATACCGGTCCACGAAATTTCAAGAGTAAAAATAAGAAGGCATTTTGTGAAAAGACAACATCAATAAAATGATCATCTGATTTAATATTTCAAAAAATAAACCAAAGTAAAAAAAGTTTGTAAATTTGAATATTTTACTGACTAAAGTAAAAAAAAAAATCGTCAAATAAAAAATACAAATGAAGACAGAAGAAACATTTGCCATATCTTTTTTTCACAAAAGGTATGAAACTAATACAGTAGGTAATATCTGTTTTGGAACTAAAGCATTTCCAGTGATAATACATTCCAGCAAAAGTAACAATAATTCAGTATTTCTCAAGTAAAAAATAAATATTTCTCAAATAAAAATAAAAAGCAAAGTGCTCTAGAACTACTAATTTAAGTACATTTTTTCAAAATACTGAAAAGATTTGCTTAACCCACCTTTGAATGAACATGTCTTAGTTCTATGTCCGAGAAATGTTCATGTTTTGTTGCAAAATGTGCATAGTTACCCTATAACAAAAGCAAAAGATGTTCTCAACCAAATCTGCTATAAGAGTGTATTACGCACAGTGAAACAACTCTTGTACTGAGATAGCTGATTAGTTGACTCATTAGACCTATTTTGCTTGGAGAAATGAGCAAAAATTCCATAAAACTACAGTGAGAAATTGTGGAAGGATACCAAAGTAGGCAAGTATGTCAAATACTAAGAAAATATATGTAAGCATATGAATTTGAATAAAATACTCTAATCCTCTCCAAGAAAAATAATCTCCTTTACACGGTGTATCTGTACAAATTAGTGATACTATATTGAATGAGAAGGAAATAATAAATACTTCTAAACTGTTTAAATTGTGGCCGGATGCTTTAGAGTTGCCTAAAAATGTTAAATGTAATGGTCTTGAGTATACTCACTGTTACGCATATCAACAACATTTAAGCAAAAATAACAGATTCAATGACATGAATCTGATTGCAAAAATCTTTCAGCAAACAAAGGTAATATCACTGATATTTTGCTGACTTTTGTCCTAAAGTCTTTTTTTTCTTTTTGTTTCTTACCAAAATAAAATTGAAACTTTTACAATTTAACAACCGTACAATTGACTTTTCTATACTTACACTGATTGGCCAGTAGATGGCAGTATAGCTCACGGAAGTGGCTGGCTTTCGTCCCGGTTTTACCACAAACGTCCTGAAATATTTGAGAGCATTGACAAAAGCAGCTTTTGAACAGAAAGGGGTTAAAATTTAAGTTTAAAATTTGACTTAAAAAATTTAACCGGTAGATATATAAGTTTTTCGAACAATAAATAAAATAGGATGGAGCAAAATAGAATTGAATAGAACGAACATAACTGTCTTTATTGTCTAAGTGTGGAAATTTAGGCGTACCAGGGGTAAAGTCGAAGTCTTTATTCACATTAACAAAAAAATAAAAAGACAGAACTAAGAATAACTCGTAAGTATTCCAACAGATTAGCTGAGAATTTTATTTTGAAATATGAAATCTTAAAATGTTCACGAGAAACAGGAATAAACAACATAATCTGTGCTAGAACAGCATAGTTGAGAGGCTTTTATTTTGAAGAATGAAATCACTTTGGTGAACATGCCTTCGAAATGACGTCAGAGAAGTCAGGAAGTAGATCGGCTTACCTTCGCACATGGTGAAAATGGCTGCGAATGAAGAAAAACAACAAGGCCACAGACCCGGCGTTTACAAACAGAAAAATAAGGGACACAAACATGGCAAACACAGGACGAAAGGAGAAATCGAAAGAGAAAACAAAGGTAGGCCCTGTTCCGTGGCGAACGAAGTGTTACAGATATGGTTGCGTGTCTTTGTGGTTGTTGCTTTGATTAACTCACGTGTTCTGCAGTCTGAAGGGATTGAGAGGACAAGATAACTCATGTTTCAGTCAGATAGTTCATGACATCAGTTTTTAGTCCGACTTCGGGTCATTTCGGGATTTTCAAAGTTCTCCGCTGGATCTACGTGCAGCTGTAGTGTGAGAGTTACAGTCAAATGTACGGTGATCTGTTCTCTGCAATGATCAAGTACATGACCAATATTTGCATCGGTACTTATAAAGACGCAAACTCTCACTTTTCCTCAATGTAACTAATACTTGTATTTTATTTTCTTTTTGTAAATGAGCAATAAATCTATTGAAACTCTTTTGTTGGGGAGATCTGAAGAAGAAATTGAGATAATCGTTACATTTTTACGTTTTACTTTTGAGTGCGATCTCAAATTAGCTCGCATTAACATATTAATTTGGAAAATCAAATTTTAATTGCTCGTAAATATGTCCTGCAAGTGTTCGGATTTTCTTTGCTGTATTTGTTTTCATTTTCCACTAAGTAATGGAATGTGTGTGTTATTAATTTGAGATTATATAGTATTTTCAACATTTAAAGAACTGCTATTGATTAGATTTATTTTTGCTCTTTTGATATTTAACCACTCAACAGAAAAAGCACAGTGAGTGCAAAGTTGTAACTAGGCCTGTCACTATAATTATTTTTTGCTGGTCGGTAAATTGTTCCAGAAGTTATTGCAATAAATTGTAATATTGTTATTTTGAAACCATTGTCTAGGAATGCAATGATATTGACATGATAAAGCAAGAACACATTCTCAAATATCAATAAACTTTGAATTCTAGCAATTTAAAACTGGAACTGGAAGACATTTTAATACCCAAAATAACAAGACAACAAATAAAAGCAGTAGCTGAGATCAAAACACGAGACTGAGGACTTTTGTCATCCAGATTCTGGTAGAAAGAGAGAAAAGAGAAAAACAATAAATCACGCAGGTAGAAATTATCGCGTTTGTTTTAATTTATCATGCAATCAATTGATTTATTTCTTATTGCGACAGGCCTAGTTATAACATCACATTCTTTGTCTTTTTTCCCCCAGTTGTTTTCCTGATTTTAAAACAAACTCCGTCACTTTAACGTCCTTGTTCCCGTGTCCCTCCCAGGCAGGGTGTCAGTGACGACCCTTACTAAAAAACAGAGGAAAGAGCTGGGGAAGATGGACAGACGACATAAAGCCAATCAGCTTCGGAAAACGAAGAAAGACCAGGTAATTTCAATGCACATAAAGAACAAAATATTTAAAATTTCTGACCTGTGTTGCAAAGTTAACTTATTTTTTTGTCCCCGTAGGTTCTGATGGAAAAGCGGCGACTTGGCAGCAGGGACGGTCCTCCTCACCTAGTAGCCGTGGTGTCCCTGCATGCTAATGCTGACGCCGGGGCGGTTAGCAAACTGCTACGTGGTGAAGGCGCTGGGGGCGTGGTGCACCTGGAGCGATGCGTCAGTGGCGTCGGAGACAGTTTTGGACTGATTGTGCCTCGCTTCAAACAGAGGTTCACATTTCTAAACCAGAGCACAGGTACGTTTTGTTGGATGTTTGTTATTGTACTTTTTTTTTTTAATCAAAAGTTTGGTTTTAAAAAGTTGCATAAATGAAGTAGTTTTTACATAATGGGAATATTTAAAGTTTTTGCAATTTTTTTTTTTTTGCTCAATTCTGCAAGCTTTTTAAAATTGAAAAATAAAATGTATATAATAACTAGTTTCAGATTTTCTTCCCCCCATTTCTCAAGCTCTTCTCCTTGTTTCTCTGGCCAGATGACATGCACTCCCTGCTGGATGTTGCCAAGGTTGCAGACAGCCTGGTGTTTGTCCTGGATTCAACTGAAGGCTGGGACACTTACGGAGATCATTGTCTGTCCTGTCTCTTCGCTCAGGGCCTCGCCAGCCATGGTTGGCTCCCATTTTTTGTACAATATGTGGAACATTTTACACTATTTTCCTGGTTTTTGTCTTCAGACATCTAATTTCTCCTAAATCTCTTCCCCTCTACCCACCATCCCATCGTAGCTCTGGTGTGTCAGGGTTTGTCTGACATCTCTGTGAAGAAGAGGGTCGATTTCAGAAAAGCTCTATCAAAGATCACAGAGGTCCGCTTCCCGGACAGCCGCCTCTTCCCGTTGGACTCGGATCAAGACGCCACCCTCCTCCTCAGACACCTGGGAAGCCAGAGGCAACGAAAGCTGGGCTTCCGTTCCAGACGCTCCCATCTTTTGGCTGAGCGCGTGGCGTTCACGCCAAATGGCCCTATGGAAGGGAGTGGCGGCGGAGGGCCCAGCGGCCTGGGGACCCTGCGCGTGTCCGGGTATGTCCGAGGTTGTGCCCTCCACGCCAACAGACTGGTGCACATCAGCGGGCATGGGGACTTTCAGCTGAGTCAGATCGACGCTCCGCCGGACCCTCTGCCCCTCAACCTGACCACAGTCAGAGCGACAAAACCTGGAAGGGGAAGAGATGTGGAGATGCAGGTAAATGTTAAACCACAGTCATCATGGTGTACAGCAAGAGTTTTGTAAAATCCTCTTAAAGTAAATGTAGCAGGGGTGATGATAAAATAGAGGCCACTGTAACGGTTCAAAAAGAAATATTAGGTCAGTTTATCTGTATTAATAGTCTTTTATTTTGCAACTAAGCAATTATGGACAACTGAATTAAAGTTCTATTATTGGAGAGATATTACATTCTTACTTTGTGTTTCTCTTGTAATGGGCCATAAAAATAATTTTAATTAATTAAAATAAATTCATTAAACATTTTCCACATTTGTTCAGGATTGTGGAGCTCCAAAGTTTGGCACATTTTTCAAAACTAAATCTGAATAATCTTCTGTTCTGTGAATGAAATGTGTGGTGTTGTTTCTTAAGTGTTAAATCAGAGCTATAGTGATAAATGTTTGTTGATTTAAAATAATGCTGAAATGCTGAAACCATTCATTTTAGAAATGCGATAGATTCTCACAGTAAGGTAACTTTGACTAGAAATACGGCGTTTACACAAACCTTTTTCACACAAAAGCTGAAGAGTGTGAGTAAATGTCTGCATTCAGAACAGAAAAGTCTCCTTCGCTCAGCTCCTCCAGACTCCTTCAACGCGACACGGTTCAGCTTCATCCTGCAAAACAACACTTTAAAAAGTAAATGTTAAAACATCTGTAATTTTGGCGTAACATGTTGTCATTTTGTTGTTTGCAGGACGGAGATGAAAGCGAGGCGCCGGTGCGGGTCCTGATGAAGGCAGACCCGTCCAGCCGGGAGAGTCTGCAGGTGGAGGCGGCGGTGGACCCCATGGATGGAGAGCAGACATGGCCGACCGAACAGGAGCTGCTCGACGCTGAAGGTGAGGAGACGGAATCCTAAAACTGGAAGCGATTAAGAGGAGAAGTTAAGATAAAAAAATAAAAAAAATCACTGAAGACATAAGTATCTCAATTTGTAATGAATCATAAAGGTTCAGGAATCAATCGTACGCAGCTACTTTAGATCAAATTTTCAGTTTTCTAATATGCCACACATGCATGGAAGCATTTGGTATTATCTGCAGGTTAACACTTTACCCTCCTGGATGTTCGTTTCTTTGCTCAGAGGCCAGAAAGAACAAGCGTGTGATGAAAGTTCCTAAGGGAACGTCTGACTACCAGGCCACATGGATCATTGACGAAGATGAGGAGGAGGAGAACGGTGAGACGGATGAAGAAAGCAGTGATGACGATGATGGCGATGACCTAATGGACGAAGCTATGGATGGAGAAGATGAGGAGAATCACTCTCAGGTAAGCTGACCGATGACAGATTTAAGTTGTTCAAGAAAATGCTCATTTGGATTTAAATAGCAATAATATTATAATGTTATTTAACTCACCTGACTGCTCAGACTTAACCTTAGCATGAATCCAGTTACGCTGTGGAGGCCTCAGAGGATTGTTAGAGAACATGAGTGAACAAATGACATCACTCTTATTGTTAGATATTTTCAAAACCAAATCCAGGTATCCTTTGCCATGGATGAGTGAGGAAATGCTTTCACTACTCTTTCAATTGGCCGTACGAGTAGAGGACTATATAAATTTGTGTCTCTGATGTTTTGGAAGATGCCTCAATCGTTTTGATGGCGACCAGGATGGTGTAACCTGCGGCGAAGTTGCAAAACGGCCGAGCGGTGCATACGTGACCCACGGACAGTGCACCTCTCTGCTGAGAGGCATTGTTTGTTTTCTGTGTCCGTCTCCAGCCTGCAGTGCCAGGCTGCTCGCCACATCGCAACAATAGTGTTTGGAGCCAGAGTCCCGAGAGAAGCCTCCTGTCTTCCTGTCTTGTGAACCGAACTTCCTGTCTGGACGGAGGGAGGGGTCGAGCATTTATTTGTTTCCAGCAGTGTTTGAAAAGAAGTCGGAGCTCGGAGGAGGGGGGGGCAGGGGAAGCTGGCCTTATGAAAAGGGTTCATTATGACCTGTAATTGTTAATCGCGTCCATTTGATGTCGGCATTAGCGAGCAGGAATACGTAGGTTGTACGGGGTAACAATAGGCGAAGGGGCACTTCAAATGACAGTGATTATTATTACTGCGGCGAGGATGTTGGAGAGCTTGTGAATCAACCCCATGCTGTGTGTTTTTGGTTCATGTGTCAGACTTCTCCATGTGAGTGACCACTGATGATTCATTCCTCCCACACATGCAGCGCAACTGGAAGCTGGGAGGATGATAAGGGAGGATGCCTCAAATCCTGTCCATGCTTTGCATCCTTGGCAGAGTCCTCCAGTTATGAGTATGCAAAGCAAGAATTCCAACAAGCTAAGAGTGCCAAATAAATAACTTATGAAATAATTACTTAAAAATACCATTAATTTCTTAAAGCTGGTAATACATGTAGAAATAATTGTATGCGCTTCCAATAAATGTTTTAATATTTTTTTAAATTAGATGTAGTTATTTCATGATTTAATTAATAATTTTATGTTCCTGTGCTGAAGCACATCATGAATTAATTTAAACTGTCAACTTTAGTTATCAAATTCAGTAGGCGGGGTTAGGACTGCTTCTATGGAGACCCTGACATCTGATTGGCTGCTTCAGACAGCGAGCCAAGTCAACTTACTACATGTTAGCTATGACTCTTTATTAGTATTTTCATTGTAGATTTGGAAATAACTTCAATAAATGTATTTACTACAAACTCTGTGTGAGCAACCCCAGCCTCTGTATCCCTAGTTTGGCCTGAAATATCTCTAACTTATCTACAAGAGAGCTTACTGTGGTCAAACTACCACAGACTTCAGACAGGATCAACGTTAGCTAACTAGCTAACACTGGCTATTGTTGGCCGACGCTCATTCATGAACTTATTTGAGATATTTTAGACAAAACTAGAGATACAGAGGCTAGAGTTGCTCACCCAGTTTGTGGTAAATAAACTGCAACAATTTAATTATGTCGATAAAGTTATTCTAGCCAAGAATTTGACCTAGCGTCTTAGCTAATTTGGGAGAAATTGTTTCTTCCAAGATGCTATTTGAAGCAGCCAATCAAGGCGTCACGGTCTCTGTTTGAAATAATAATCTCTAATTATTTCTATACTTAAAAAACCCCAATTATGACACATATTGGTAATTATTTCAGAAGTTATTTATTGTAATTTGGCACTCTTCTCTATTCATACAGTCCTCATTCTGTCATTTTCGTAAATCTGGACGCAAACTGTATGAAAATAACCGAACTTCCCAAGGAAGGTTGAACCCTATTGGGACTTCAGAGTTTGAGATGGCCATGCCATAAAATAAAAGGCATTTTGAGTCCCATTCATGCCTACTCCATCTATTGAGAACCTCCAATACATCAACACAGACTTCAGGAAGCACTGCTGCACAAACAGCTCTGAATACACAAACACAGTTTGTTCACTGGCAATAAAACAATCCCAGTTACTACACTTGGTCTGGTTAGGAAGCTAAACTTGTAAAAGTATTTATTCTGTTTTGAAGCTGTTCAGATTATTTGGCACACTAGAAGAAGTTTTGATGTATTTTGCAGGGATTTAAAGAGACAGATTAACATAAATGAATGTATGATGGTGAAATCAAAGGACATGGATATAGGGTATTTTTAAAATAAAAAAAATGTTTTAAACAGAGCTCCGGCTAACAATTATTTTAGTAATCGACTATTCTATCAATTAATTTGATGATTAATCAGATAAAACATTGCCACATTCCACAGATGTTTCATTTCACCACTTAACCCATATTTTTTTACAATAATAAATTCATGAAAATATGAAAACAAGCAAATAATTAAATTCCTATTTTTAAATAAGAAGATAAGCATTTATGGCTAATATGCAATAACAGCATTTGTTTAGTGAAATCTTGATCATTACAGTGTATTGCTGTTACGTTGTTATATAGGTCTGATCTGTTGATTACTTTTTGGATTAACTGATTAATAATTGAATAGCAAGAGGTGGTTCAAAGGTGCTAAAACTTCAAATTAAGGAGTTCGGAGTAGAACACATTTACAAGCACATTTCTTTTTTATCTTAAATTAAAAATATGCATTTTTTTGTACAGTTTTGGCTTAATTACTGCACTCAGTGCGTTGTTCTTTTTGCAAATTGCCTTTTTGTTGATAAAGAAACAAGAAGGAGCTGGTTTTAGTGGTTAATCGTCCAGTTAATGATTAATCATTACTAAGTTAGTTGACAATTATTTCATTAATAATTTCATCACAATTAAGCTAATGTAATCTTTTTTGGCCCTGGTGTTAAATAGAATTTGTGTCTGGACTAAAAGGAATAAAGTCTTGATTTGATCCATTTCCTGAGAGCTCTGGGTATGTGTTTTAGATTTTTTGTGAATCTCTAAACCTTCCTTCTTATTATTGTTCTTCAGGTCAATACGATTTGCGAATATTTGTTTACACTGTGAGACAAATGATTATCTGCCTCATTTTTAAATTTTTGTTCCTACCTTCGTGGTTATCGCAAAACGTCAAACGGTAAAAGCATCGGTGGGCGGTTAGTATTTTAGATTCAATTCTTCTTTGCTCCGCCTCCTTCTTGCCCAGGAGACTGGTTCCCAAGCTGCTTCGGAGGACGAAGACGACGAAGAGGAGGAGGAAGAGGAGGTGTTATCCACAGAGAGAGGTGGAGCAGATCAGCGGTACGACGACAACATGGACGAAGCAGCAGAAGAAGAAGGCCTGAAGCGCTACCGGGAAGCTCGATCACACGAGTTGTTTCCTGATGAGGTGGACACGCCCCTCGATGCTCCAGCTAGGATCAGGTCAGCGACCTTTCATGTGGGAGGAGGCGTACTTTAAAAAGAAAAACACAAAAAAGAGAGAGAAAAATAATAGTTGACTCATCCCGCAGATTTCAGCGCTACAGGGGCCTGAAAAGTTTCCGTTCCTCGCCTTGGGACCCCATGGAGAACCTGCCTCTGGATTATTCACGCATATTCCAGTTCCAGAGCTTCGAACGTACTCGCCGTAGAATCCTGGCGGAGGCTGCGGCCGACGAGGATGGAGCCATGGTATCGAAAAACAAACAAACAATAAAAGACGCAGCACTTGTCTTTAAGTTAAAAACAAACCTTAGTTCGAACTTTCCTTTCTGACCGCATGTCCTTGCTTCCAGGACGGCTGGTATGTCACGCTGCACATCATTGATGTTCCTGTCTCCGTCATGGAGAGCGTCCAGTCTGGCAAGCCCCTGGTGCTGGTGTCTCTGCTGCCACATGAGCAGAAGGTATCGTCTCCGTCGGAGCCGCAGACTGCGTGGCGTGCTGCTTTCTGGACTCATTATGAATTGTTTCCCACTTGGAACAGATGTCAGTGATGCACCTCTTGGTGCAGAGGCACCCCAGCAACACAGAGCCAATCAAGTCCAAGGAGGAACTGGTATTCCACTGTGGATTTCGAAGGTTTCGGGCCTCCCCTATATTCTCTCAGCACACTACAGGTGAAATACTTAGTTACCAAGCAGAAGTTTTAAATGTTAACCACATTTTTTGTTGTCTTATGGCATCAGTTCTTAATGTGTTTCACTGGGAATTTATGTAACAGACCAACAAAGTAGAACATATTTTTAATCCATTACTTTTTCAATCATTTTGTTTTACTTACAGCTCTAAGTATTGTCGTGTATATTTCCACAGTAATACTGAAATTATTTATTAAAAAAAAAAATCTATGATGTCACAAAAACAAATTTTCCAAGACAGTTCCAGACGTTATTGCGATAAACCATAATGTTGTTTTGAGACAATTTCCAAGGAATATAATGGCATAATAACGCAGTTACATCCTCTCAAGGATCAATAAACTTTAATTCCTAACAATCATTTAACGTAATTAATCGCGTTTGTTTGCAGCCATTTTCACTGAGTCTTATTGTTGAGTTGGGAGGCGTGGCCAGCAGCAGCTTATTTAAATTTAAAGTGACAAAGCTCTAAAACAGCTCATTCTAAAATCTCATTATCTAAGAACGATTAGTGCAAAACAAAATGCAACCAACATGTTTTTACACAGCCCATACAATAATTTTGCAAAAAATGATTTCTTTATATAATGGCAAACAAATAACAAAAGTATCGTCCTGTACTCCAGCTGACAAGCATAAGATGGAGCGCTTCCTGAGGCCGGATGCCCCCACCGTGGTGTCGGTGTATGCCCCCATCACCTTCCCCCCTGCAGGAGTGCTGCTCTTCAAACAGAGAAACGACGGTGAGATCATCACCGGCTGGTTTTTATTCAAGTCAATTCTGCATTCTGCTGTAATTTCAGTCTTCAAGTTGACTCCCGTCGGCTCGTCTAGTGTTACTCTGAGTTGTTTGTTTTGTTCTGCAGGCGTCCAGGACCTGGTGGCTACAGGTAGCCTGCTCAGCTGCGACCCCCGGCGCGTCGTCCTGAAGCGGATCGTGCTGAGCGGACACCCGTTCAAAATCAACAGGCGTTCAGCCGTCGTCCGCTACATGTTCTTTAACAGAGGTGAGACGACGGCCCATTACTCGTTTTCTGTACGCCGTCTGCAGAAATATTTACTGGATTTTAGGGGTGCACGATGATTATAGGCACGATAATTATCGACCCGATATCAAGAAATGACAACATCCGATATAACGGTTAGCACCGTCAGCACATTCGGTGGCGTGGCTTTGTTTGCTTCTTTTTTTAATCAAGCGCTCCCATTCCAGCCTGAGACATTCACACTATTCAAGTAGGCCTGTCAAAATAAATTTTGCTGGATGATAAATTGTCCCAGAGGTTATTGCGATAAACGATAATATTGTTGTTTTTCAGAGCATTTTCAAGTAGTATAACAGTAATGGCCTAATACAGCAAGAAAACGTTCTCAAAAATCCATAAACTTTCAATTCTAATGAAAATTTAACACTGAAATTGAAAGACATTTTCAATATCCAAAATAAATAAAACAACAAATAAAATAGATTATGAAGTCTGTAAAAAAAAAAAAAAAAAGGCTAGTTGAAGACTTTTATCATCCTGTCTTTGGTAGACAGAGAGAAAATGATGAATCATGCTGATGGAAATCATTGAGTTTATTGTAATTTATCATGTTATTTATTGCTCATTGCGACAGGCCTACGTTCAAGCAGCGTTGGTATAATTGGAGAAAGGAAACAACTCAGTTATGATATTTATAATAGTTAAAAGAGTATTATAGTTATTACCACGTTACAGAAATGAAAACATTAAATACTGACTCCCTAACTGGAAACTTCCAACTCCATGTGAATGCAGCATAATATAAAGGGAACATGGCAGCTGCAGTTTGGAACAACTTTAAGGTTTCAGATGAAGACGATACGGCTATTAGTTAAAAGAAGAAAAGTTGTCATGTGTTTCTGCTAGATTTTATTGTTTTTGTTCGTTCCTGCAACAGACGACATCATGTGGTTCAAACCGGTGGAGCTGCGGACAAAATGGGGCAGGAGAGGCCACATCAAGGATGCTTTAGGTGAGGAAACGGCCAAATTCTTCTCGTTTTCTAAACGCTTCTCACCAATGGGACTTCGAAATATGTTTTGCTTCATCATTCCAGGAACTCACGGTCACATGAAATGTGTATTTGATAATCAGCTTCGCTCCCAGGACACCGTCCTAATGAATTTGTACAAGAGGGTGTATCCTCGCTGGACGTATGACCCGTACGTTCCCTCGCAGTTACCTTGGTTCAAGAAAGAGGTGACCATTGAAATGGATGACTTGGATATGGAGTAGAAGAGTAAAAATAAAACACGAGAGACGGATGGTGTTTTGAAATGTTTAAAAAGTGAAAAATCTATTAAATAAACTAAATATCTTGCTAAGTATATGTTTAGTTCTGATCTTCTTTGCTGCTTTTGACATTTTTGAACCACTAGATGGCAGTAATGAATAAATAATCGTACATTTTTACTTTCAAATTCAATTTTTGCTGATAAAGGTCAAGCAGATTTGATGGAAGACCAAACAAAGAGCACTGTGTTATTATTATTATTAATCCCAATTAATGATTAAACAAATGTAGGACCTGTTGCTACAACAACTTGTAACAATCTGAACATTTTGTCATCCATCATTTCAATCTTTGAAGTCACGCGTGTGCAGCCTTCAGCCGCATTAAAAGGCAACAAGGACAAAATAATTACACAGAGATGATGTGATATTTGAGGAAGTGCAATCACGGCGCGAGAACTCCCAAGTTGTACTTAAAGTACAAATTCTTGTCTGCAATCAATGAATTATGTTTCAGAATTCAGACAAATGGCAGCTGTCAGGTTGTATTTATTATCATTTATCACAGCCATGCTTCAGTGGATTTTGGTCCAAAAGGAAAAAGAAAAAAAAAAAGGGGGGAAATGAGAGAGAGGCTATCAGGGTGAAATAAATCCCTGGTTTCAGAATGAGCCTGATGCAGAAAACAATTGTGGAAAGTACAAGATTAGGCATTTTATAAGCTGTTTCAAAATACATGGCAGTGCCAACATTACATCAGTTTAAAGGCCGGGGGAAGAAAAAGGAACGGAAACAACTGTTTTCCAAGCACACTGTTCTTTAAGTCCCTCTCAAAAGTATTCATACCTCTGGATCTGTTTCACATTTTGACACATTACAGGAAAAACTTCAGTTTTACATGAACAATCTATTTGTAAAGTCACCTTGAATTCAAACTTTTTTTGACAAATTAAATTCAGTTTTAGACTTGGACTGGATCATTTAAGCACATGGATTTTATCAGCAGACAAAAAATTATCTAGTTGAGTAAAACATGTTAGCTCGTTAGCATCAAATAAAGGTTTCCTACTATTTTTGCTCCATCCATCTTTACCTCTGGTCAACTTCTCTGTCTCTTCTAAAGAAAACCTTCCAGACAGTGTGATACGCCTGCCACCGTGTTTCATGTGTGCTCAGGATATCGGCTTTAACCTCTTTGGTCAAAAAATGACATTTTGGTTTCACCTTGTTGCACATGAGCCTGAATTTTGGCAAACTTTAAAGGGTTTCGATTCTCATCTCCGTTCGGCGCGCCGTCTGGAAATTCTCTAATTGAGCTTAATTTCTCCGATATAATCTCAGCCATAAGGAGAAGTTGTGAACTATGATGATTTTTTTTTTCTTTTTTTGGTGCTGTTTTAGAATTGTAGTGATTTAGTAATTTACTAAACCGGTTATTTGAAGGTATTAGAGTAAATGGAAGTGAACGTCACACTTTTCGGATTGTTATTTGTAAGCATTTTAAGGCCATGCGTCGTCATCCTCTCATATCATATTCATGAGATACTGTATTTTGGTCCGTCGCATATCGTCCATAGATGAGGTGTGTCAGTCGTTTTCATTTTGGGCCACAAAGAGCCGATTGTGGTAGAATGTATTGGTAAAACTTCTGTATTTGATTTGTGTCATTGTCGTCTTTTCACAATGATGTAATTTGGTAAAAACTAAGTTGAGAAAATAATATTCAAGCACACAACTGAACCATTCTTATGGCCCTCTGGAGTCTAGAGCAGGGATCTGCAACCTGTGGCCCCGGAGCCACATGTGGCTTCCTGGACCTTTCGCAATGACTCTTCATAGCTTTGACTCAAAATGATAAAGAAATACTTCAAGTTTTACAAATAGATTTAATAATTTTTTTAATGCGACAATTTAATTTCTACAGTGTAGTGACACTAACTGAAACAGTCATTTTTATTTAGATGTATTTTTCTTTGACTGGAAGCTGTGTGTAAACATCAACATTCCAGATAAGAAATCTTTTTGAAAACATTTTCTGCTTTCCTTTACATTAAAACCTAAAAATAGGAATGAAATAACTACTATTTAAAACTTACAACAGATTTTCTGTAGTAAATATTCACCAGAAATTGTCCTTTTTCCCCCCTCAAAAGGTGCAGCTCTAAATCAATTTTATTTAGTTGGACTGAAGACAAAAATGTCTCTTTAGATTGTAAAGGCTGCAGACCCCAGAACATAAATAGTTTAGGCGGGCCGGGATTGGCCCGCGGGCCTCCAGTTTGACACGCGTGACATAGATTTTGTGGTTTTATTGTGAAAAATATTTCTGTTGTACACCTCAGAGGTGAAGCGTTGACATCTTAAAACGCTCTGATAAAACTCTTTTTCTCTCACCACAGTGGTCTTGACCCACACCCCTTCTTCTCAGATCCAGTGAACACACACAGACACACAGACACACACACACACACACACACACACACACACACACACTTTGATCACAACCTCTTTGTTGTTTTGAAAAACTAAAACTGAAGCACTTTCCAGCTTTGTGCCCTTCCCTCTTGGCTCGTTCTTTCTTGTGTAGGAAAACACTGATTTATATGACATTCAATATTTATCATAAAAAAAAATGCTGAACCCTTCACACGCCTGCAGCTGCATGATTCATCCCCGCATTGAATGGGGTCTGAACCGCAGAGGCATGCCGATGTGTCTGGGATATCAGAAGGTGAGGGCTTTGGGAGAAAGAAAGTAAGTTAAAAGTTCAGTTTGTTTTTATTTGATTACAACTGGAAAAAAGTGGAAGAAGAAAAAAAATGGGTGCAGGGCCCTTACACTGCTAAAACACAAAGTCTTACCAAGTATTTTTTTTTCCTATTTTCTAGTGCAAATATCTAAGTACACTTGAATTAGGACAAAACTAACTTGCAACTAACTTTCCAGCAAGACGTAGGAGCTTGTTCTGGGCCAGCTATCCCTTAATATTGATTAAAAAGTAAAAATTCCACAATAAATGATATCGTTTATCATTTATTGTGATAAATTTCTTATGATTAAAAAAAAAAGTATTTATTGTTGTCACTATAAATTCCGATTAGTGATGTTTAAAACTACCAAAATGCTTTTTTGTCTAAACTGTTTGTTTGATGAGAGTATTAATAAACAGAAAAAACCCCCCAGCAAACTGGCAATATGACTAAATGCAGTGGCAAATTAATTCACTTGTAACTTGGGGAAAAATGTCCAGTTCAAAGTTGAACAATCCGCCAATGGATCTGGTACTTTTTAAAAATCAAAATTAAGGAATTATTTTCTTAAAACAAGCTCAATAGTTACATGCACGAGAACAAGCCAAAGAATTTCTTGGTAAAATGTTTTTACAGTGTAGGAGGGCAAACAGAAAGCAGCAGCGTTCAGAAGAAAGCACAATTTTTATTTATTTTGTCTTCATTTTAAAGAAGTCGGACATTTCAGAGGGTTTTTTTTTAAACATCTTTTAAAGACTGAATTAAAAAAAAATCTTTACTAGAATAAAAAAAGAGAGGAGTCACGGTAAGAGGAGTCAAAATCCTGCAAAAATAGGTTGAGCACAAATCCCCCCGCCCGCCCCTTCTCACCCAACACTATCAATTTTAAACAGATAAACATTTAGCTGCCTTCAGAGGGGGGACCAACAGCGACGTGGTAAGACTGTCTCCAGCCCATAAGTGAAGTGTGTGTTTGGCACACGCTCTCATCAGAGGACACGAATGCTGGTGACTTTTAGTGCTGCTGGGATCAGGAATGTCCTGCGGTTCCCAGTTCACTGCCACCACACTCCAGTTGGCTCTCACCAGAGATATAATGGGTGAGAGGTTTTTCCGTTGGATGTGGATAACGAAACGGAAGGAGAGAGAGAGACAGAAAGAAAGAGGGGGAAAGGAAAGGGAGATAAAGGATGTACAGTAAAAGAATGTTTGTTTTTTAGAAGAAAGGACGGGGGAGTTGCAGAATTGGGTAATTAAAATAAAACATTAATGGGTGACAAGAAGAAAAAAAAAGTGAAACGGATGAGTGTGAGAGTCTGAAGCGATGTGGGCGAGGGAGCAGAGGAGTGAGAGTGGCTGGCGTTTATGGGTTGCAGATGTGGCGTGCTGGGGTTTTGGCAGGGGCCCCGAGTGAGCCTGGATCCTGCACCGGCTGGGTGGCACCAGGGTGAGAGGGAGGTCACCGCGCCGCAGCACAGAGCCCCATAAAACAGTGAGAGGAAAGGGTCTTAAACCCTCACCGTTTTCAGAACGCCAACGTTACACTTTCTGTGTTCGGTCACGCTTAAGAAACGAAGCACTACTAGCAAACAAAGCAGGTTTAACGCAATAACACCAAGAATGGAGCTGAGAAGATGTCAGATTTAAAAGCGCGGTCCCCTCTGACCGTGACAAATCACGCGGTTGCAGGAATGATTTCCTTTTCTGTTCACATCAGAGCTGGAGTTATTAAAACTGAAAGCTGTTCTGACACTCTGAGATGAACAGAGTAACTAGTTACATTGACTTAGGTAACTATTTTTTAAAAAAATTACTTGTAGGAGTATTTTTACTCCTAAATTGCTGTACTTTTTTACTTTTACTTGAGTAAAAATATGTTGTATCACTGCTTTTTCATGAGTGAAATTTTTGGCCACTCTACCCTCCTCTGGAGATGAAACGAGTCGACCAATCGGAAAAATGACGAGTTTATCTGTTAGCATGTCGTTTCTCTTTCTGGCCTTTCTGGATGACGAAAAGTTAACTTGGGTTGATCCCAGGAAAAGTTACATTAGAAAGACTATTTGCCAAAAGCAGTAGCAGAGAATTTGGATGATGACAGAAACAACAGGCTTCTGTACATTTTGAATTTATCCACACTGGAAAATAATAACATAAAAATGGTCATGACTCTTCTGAGGGAAACAATTTAAGAAATTCCTGGGTGACTCTCATGGGTGAAATACACATAGTAGTGACAGCATCATGCTGGGGGATCACTTCCCCCACTGAAAGTGTGGAAAAATGATCAGAATTGAAAAATGCCACTGCAAAAACACAACATCTTACCAAGTGTTTTTAGCTT